AAAAGCTGGGCCAATTAGAGATGGTGGTAACATCTCTGTGATAGCATATTTAAGAAATCAAAACAAAAGTTGTGGCACAATTGTAATTTTTGATCAGAGAAGAGCAGGGTGAGAATAATAATGCTGCAGACACCAAGGTCAGTGAAGCAGGAGGGGCAGGAGGTGCTGCAAGTGCTGGAGCAGAGATTCCCCTGCAGTCCCTGGTACAGCCCACGGTGAGGCAGCTGTGCACCAGCAGCCCGTGGGGATCCACACGGATGCAGAGATCCACCCACAGCCCATGGGGATCCACAGGGATGCAGAGATCCACCCACAGCCCGTGGGGATTCACAGGGATGCAGAGATCCACCCACAGCCCATGGGGATCCACAGGGATGCAGAGATCCACCCACAGCCCATGGAGGAGCCCCTCACCAGAGCAGGTGGATGCCTGGAGGAGGCTGTGATCCTGTGGGAGACCTGTGGCGAGAGGAGAGCTGCTCCCACGCTGGAGCAGCCTGTCCTTGGAGGACTGCACCCCATGGAAGAGTGACCCACACCGCAGCAGCTTGAGGGGGATGGTTGTCCATGAGATGGATTCACGCTGGGGAAGTTCATGGAGAACTGTCTGCCTTGGGAGGGACCCCAGGGTGCAGCAGGGGAACGACTCCTCTCCCTGAGCAGCTGGAGAAGCCATGGGAGATGAACAGATCACAACCCCCATTCCCTGTCTCCCTGCACTGCTAAAGTAGGAGGTGGAGCTGAAAGGAAGGAGGGGTGGGGGGAAGGTGTTTTTAGGGGTTTACTTTACTTCTCATTATCACACTCTGATTTTGTTAGCAATAAATTCTCTTCATATCTCTAAGTTGAGCCTGTTTTGCCCTAGATGGTATTTGGTGAGTGATCTCTCCCAGTCCTTACCTCAACTCATGAACCCCTCATTATATTTTCTCTCCTCTGCCCAGATACAGAGGAGTGAGTGAGCTGCTTTGGTGGGTGCCTGGGTGACATCTGCTCATATGGATCCTCCTCATGCCCAAAAATTGTGTGAATCCTGCCCCTTGTGTCCAAACTTGCCTCACAGGGTCAACAGCTGTGTGTTAAGGATAGAAGATCCCGGGCTTGGATTGTCAGTCTCCTGCTGGAAGGGAGATGTGTTATGGACCCTGCAATTGCTCAGCTAGGAAAGTATTAGATGGAAATGAAGTACCACTGTATCAGATGAAGATCATTCTCAACAGAAACTATTGCAGTACCTGTAAAAACAATTCACTGTGGATGCAGCATCTGTAAGAAAGACAAATTTCATTCCAGTTTCACTAAAGATACAGCGAAGGATTAAATCACTTTTCACAGTTTGACATCCAGACGGAATCCAATTTAATTAGTTACCAGACAAAATTTAACATCCACCAGTGCTTAAGAAACCCCCAGTTGGTAGCAGGGCCAGAGAACTCTCACTTCACTTGCACTTGCAGTCAGTCACCAGCCTTCTGCAGGATGCCTTTGAAAGCATCCACCTCATGGATTACTGCAAAGTAATGTAGGGGGAAGTAAATAGAACATATGGATGGGTGTGCTTATTTTATAAATGGGTTGAAGCATCTTCCAAAGACACAGGAAAACTGGATTTTACCAGGTTTGACTGATCTTATATCCAACGCTCAGGGTTTTTTGTCTCTACAGAATATTTTATCTTGGGGCTGCAGTATTTTTTGAGGACTGAAAAATTTGCTTTAGGGGAAGTTTTCTTTGTAATTATTTATGCACCAGTAGTACTAGGCAGCCCATATACCAAAATTAGGATCTTTTTTCCAAGCACATTATTTAATCTGCAAAAACTCACTCAATATGCACACATTAGAGAAACTGGGACTTAGTCACAAGGGCAAAAGAAAATTGTTTCAATATTTTGCCCCTGAAGCTAAAGAAAAGATACAACTATTTTTCTTGGATCCTCTTCCATGATTCTCTTCTCTCAACATCAATTTTTTATAATAAAAAAATGGCCAAAGTGCCAGATTTTTTAATTCCTTCTCATAAATAATTTACAGACTGCATAAAACAAGAGATAAATAAAAGGACCTTCTTTATCACCCTTGTGAGTACACTAAGCATGGTCCTGGTGAGATGCCATTGAACTCAGTGAACTGTGCCTCTAGAATCTAATTTGGGGAACTCACATCCATAAACACAGTTGTGTGTAACTACAAATGTTTTACTGATAAAGCATGTAAAGCAGTACAGTGGGGAAGTACTGTTTTTTGGGGTTTTTTTTTAACTCCCTGCTTTTACTACTAGCTTACACCATCACAGAAAAGATAAAACTGCCAGTTTAGTTCTATAATTCAAATTAATGCATAAATCCAAGCCTCCAGAGTTTTAAGACAAATAACACTATTTGCCTCAGAAATGCAGAAGCAATATAATCTTTTAACTGAAAGTGATTAAACCAGAGTAACCAATGGAGACACATTCAAACTCCCCAAAATTTTCAAGTAACAGTAATTATTATTTTACCTCTATCTTTATCTTTACCTCTAAGCTAAATGTGTTTGGATTTTTCTGTGCAGATAACTATAAAAATCATTAAAGTGTGGTTTTGTTCACCAAAACTCTCTTCCCAGATGTGCTGGGGTCTTGCTGTCTCATTAGACCAAACCCTTTGCAGTGGGCACACCGCATGACACCTATTTCTCTTTTTTCTAAATAGAACATGCTGCCACAACATCGTTGAGCAATTTTTCTTAGATTAACAAAATCTCTTTTTTGGCATTAGGAGAAAAAAGAAAAATTTAGAATGCAGAGCTGTGGGTTGGGAGTTAACAAAGGAAACTCACCCCCACCTTTCTTGCCCAGCGCTTGGTGACACAGGGGCAGAACTGTCCCTTTGATTTACTCTCACACCAGCACCACACAGAGACCAGGGCACAGAGGTGACACTGAAATCCAGGTATCCTGCTTTGTGTCATGGGTCCCCTGCTGAAAGGGTCAGGGACAGGGGTGGAGGAGCTTGTCTCTGGCCCAGCTGTGGGCGTTTGCTCTGGGGCAGCCATTCCTCTGGCTCCGCTCTCCAGGGTGGTCACAGGGAGGTGCTCAACACACCTGCCAGTGAGTCTGCCTCACACCCACAAAGACTCCCTTGTGGCCACAGGAAATGGGCATGATTTTAGCGTGATCTGTTGTTTTGTATTTCTGTGCTCACTGCTCATTGTAAGACCTCAATCCTTCCCTAAATTTGTGCCAGACTCTAACGTCTGGGGGATAGAATTTCCCATGCCAGAAGTACCAGGCTGCAGAGTTGTCTGGGGCATCTTTCACTGGCCTGTGTGCACCCTACAGTCAGAGCCTTTAAAAAGGCTTAGATGAAAAATAACCTCACTAGCACACGATGGTTCAGGCCACTTGTAAACTGTTTGCTAGCTGAGACAGAGAATCTTCACAGCCTCCTTTTTTCCTAGTACTTGGTTGCTGATTTAATGTTCTGTTAAGGATTTCTTGTAATCCTTAGACTTAACTCAGGGTTCTCATTGATCCCCACTCCCCATTAGCTCTCAGTCTCAAGAGAGTGTAAAAATTTTCATTTAAAATAAAGACAAAGCTCAGAAAAAGTATTCTTTGCCTCTGACTGGTCCCTCCCCACTCTGAAGATGTTTCAGTGGCCCCTCGTGGTACCCCTCTATTTGGAAGCAAGGATTTGAAATCTGGCAAAAGAACCAGACAAAAGGGACAGGTTTTCTTTCTTTCACCTGCACATTCAGGTGTGAAGACTGGGATGTGGCCCCAACTTTCTCCATCCCCTGGAATTTCCACTGTGAAGTTTCCTAACTATAAAAGGAGAAGGGAAATGAGGCTTTACCTTGCCCCAGTTCTCTGAAATTAGTTTTTTTAAGTGAGTAAACAAAACAAAAGCCAAGGCCCTGGCTCATCTCACCTTCAGCATGCTTTTGCATCGAGGGATTACGTGTTTTCTCCTTTTTATAATTTCCAGACTAGTAGGAACAATGCAGTCCAGTATCAGTGACTGATAATGAAGTGTTGGGGGAAACTGTTCATTTTCCATTGAGCAGACATGTTAATCTCTTTGTGATGTAAATGAAAGCTGCTCCTGATACATTCCATCTCTTGACATTTCCATTCCAACCTGTCCTTCAGGGATGTTCACCTCCAAGAAATGCATTAAGGGAAACCAGAGCATATAAGGATAAAGCAGGACAGTAAGCAATGCTGATATTCCATATTCAAAGCAAAAAATAAAAGAATGTCATTTTAATTGAGCTGCAGAGAGTACAGCTCCTTTCTAATTTCCCGTACAAAGTAATGCAAATATATGGAAACTTAAAATTCAAAAATCATTTCAGTTAGCTCTTGTTTTATCTGATGGAGCAAACAAGAATTAGATGGATGTCATTGTAAGTAATATTCAACTTGAAATCTGTTTTCTAACCAGAATAATTATCTTTATTTTATTTGAATAAACAAGAGCCAGGCAGAGAGTTTCAGAGTATGTAGAATAGTTTCAATCAACATTAGAAGAATATTATTAAAAACAGCTCCTCATATCCCTTTACAGTAAGTAACATAAAAGAGACTATGGAGACAGAGTGTATTAAATTTCTCTTACAATAGATCTCATTTCCAAAAATGGAATATGCATCAGTCTTCTTTCATGTACAGTCCATATAATGCAAGCATCAAGAATTAGTCACTCTATGAAGAGGTGCTGTGATCATACATTACTTCAGCCCAGCATCTATATCCCAGTGTCCCCTTTTGATTTGAGCTTTTGAAGATAATGATCCTTCAAGCTATATTCATGAACATGTTCCAGCAAGGCTGGATGACTGTTTATTTGAATAAAGGTTGCAGGTTTTCTGTCAGCTACCTCACATCTTGTATATTCATCGCATAAAGGTGGTGCATAAGTATCAGAACAGCAGTGCATTTTAGACTCTGGAGGAAAAGAAATACTTTGTCTCTATAACCAAAGAAGAATTGAGCTCAACTCACCAGAAAGACCATTGCTTTTAATATTTTCATTTCCTTTATTACACATGATACATGATTCCTCTTCTATAACTAGGAACTCACAGCAGAGCATAAGATGCTATATCCCTCATTTATTCTGCATTTTGTGAATTAATTTAAAAACTCTTTTTTACACATTGACATTTTTCAAAAAGAAAGAAACCAAATTAATTGAAAATAATGATATTTGAAAATAATAAATTTTTTTCTACTTTGCTCAAACTTCCAATTACACTACTCCCGTTCTCAGGTCAAAATCATTCCTGTATATACACATATTCATTGCTAGTTGCTTTGTTCTGTTTTATTTCAGCACTCCTTTCCTCTGTTAAACAAAATGGACAATGAGAAAGCATTGATATAAATGTACAAAGAAGATGCTTCTTAGGGGGTACTGAAGAGTTGAGAAGTTCATAGTCTTCATAGAAATATATAAAATATTTGAAATTTTCTCCATTCATTGGAATCCATTCAGTTTCACTTGTCAGACCTGTGCAACAAACACAAGAACAGAAATTAATCATTATCAGTGCACTCACAGGTATTTTCAGATCATGCAGAAAAGCTGAGAGGGGGAGGACACTCCCCACACCTGCAGTTTTTCCTTCTCTGACAGCACTTGTTTATAGCAAAGCTCAGGGAATACAAATCTCTGTGATCCACAAGCTTTTCCCACCTACTCTCCAGAGCTCTGTCTGATGAAACTTCATGATTCTGTCGAGACTTCAGGCCTCTGAAGCCTTGAGTTTTGTCCTTGGCAGCGGCTGCTGGGCTCTGCCCATCCCATCCCCGCCCTGCAGCAGAGCGTGGTCCAGCCCTGCACACACCCTGGGTGGGACTCAGCCCAGGGCAGCCCTGCCCTGCTCCGGCAGGCACAGGAGGAAATGCTCTCTTGTGGCTCAGCAGTGCGGCTGTGTTGCAGGGAGTAGGAATGCATCAATTCATAAAAATCAAAATGGTATTTAATTTTACTATTGAATACTGCTTACTGGCATATACATGTATATGCCTGTGCATTTTTAATTTTTTAAACTGCTTTGGTTATCCTCTTCTCTTGCCTTTTCTGTTCTGCCCATTAGAGTCTCCACTGGTGAGACTCCATCCAAACTGAATAGTCCTGGGGAATTTTCAGCCTCTCTTCTTTTGGTAGTGTATATCTTCCTGTAACTACTTTTGTCACAGCTCCACTTCTCCCCTATTTCTTCTTTAATTCTCATGACTGACCAGCACTAAAGACAGTATTCTAGAAATAGTAGCAAAGTATTTTCTGTGTTCTTTTCATAAATCCCACTTACTTATTTATTTATCTAAAGAAAGGTTGAGGGGGTACTTAGCTTCTGTCTGGGGAGTGATGAGCAATTTCCTTTGACCCATCTACAGACTCTTTCCTGCACAGTCACAGCCAATTTGAAGCCCAGCATAGGGCCTATTTCTGCTTTCTTTGAAGTTAAGAAATACCATGGTTGCTATTGATATCAGTGGTTCTAGACAGCTCAATATTGAAAACATGAAAACAGGTTTTACAATTAACTCTCAAAAGGTCAAGACACTTCAAGACACTAACTCTCTCAGCATACATGTTTAATCAGCTAAGATATAAGTATTTGAGGTGGAGGAATATGTCTACCCTTTAACAAATGCTTAGGAAACAGAGAAACTCACAGGACAGAATAAAAAATGACAACCCTCTATATCTCACAATGAGTTACATGAAGGGAGTTTTTGCTGTGCTCCTGAACACATGCAGGCTGTGCAGTTTGAGCAAACAGTGGAGGGACATGCAAAAGAAGGCTGGGATTGCTTTGCTTTCAGAAAAAACTCTTCCCTGGAGAAGAGAGGTGCTGTTAAGAGAAACCCTGCATGACTTACACTGACTGCTTGAAAGAGATGACAACCTTTAAATAAAGAAATCAAATGTTAATTAACTTGTCTTGAAAGAAAGTGAGAGGGAGTCACTGTCCACAGTGAAGAGGCCACAACACCACGTCATGCACCCAGCTCTGTGGCCATTAGCAATCAAAGGACTAATCAAAGATGTAGCCATCTCACAGCTGGGCTCAGTAAGGCAATGCACTGTTCTGCTTCAGCTGAAATTTCCTTCCAGTCAGGTAATTTAAGGTATTTCTCTTTCTGCTCTCAAAAACAAAATCCAACTTTAGGGCTGTATTTGATGGCTCCCTGGGATACACATGCACAAGTAATCCTGTCCTATATAATTACCTCCTGCCTACACACACTCTCCATGTGCTTCAGCATTCAGGATTATCCTCCTTTCTCTTTCAAACTCTTCTGTGCCTGTTCCTGAGTATCACAGGGTGGCTGTTTTCAGAGGTATGTGAATAAAACATTGCTGGCTATGACTGAACTCAAGGGCCCAAGCCTGGGATCAGGAGAAAGAGTATGCAGGGCACAGCAGGCAAATTTGAGCACGGTGTGGTCCTCAGCATCACAAGTGTTTTCTGATCCTTCTGCTGAAAGAGGCCAGTGACAGGTTCTGCCTCCAAACACATCGTGGGCAGATTGTGGCATGATGGACAACTGTAATTTAGCATTCTGGGTTTTAGGATTATAAGATATTTTTTGTACCTTTCTAGCAGATTCAGTATCTTAGATTTAAGGGTGTGTTTCTGCAAGTGTCAGCCTGGAGGATACGTCTGCCTTGCATGGGAGCTACATGCTGATCTTCTTTAAGTAGTTTAATCTGTCCTTACTTCCTGAGCTCCTAATGACAGCATCCTGGGCTGGGCACATCATGCCCCCAAGGATCGTGGTAATGCAAAGAAGGTGGGTACAAAGCCCTTGGGTACAAAAAGGATGGAGACAGACTTTCCTCTCTCTGGTGACAGGAAAGGAGATGACAGGCACAAATTGAAATACAGGAAATTTAATCTAGATAGGAAATAAAACTTTTACCATCAGGGTGGTCAAACACTAATCCAGGTTGCCCCGGAAAGTTGTGGAATCTCCATTCTTGGAGATACTCAAACCCTGTTGGGACATGGCCAGCAATGACCTGAGCAGGACATTGGACTGGATGTTTTCTTGAGGTGGTCTTGGGGGTCAGGCAGTCTGTAACTCTGGCAGAGGCTTTGCTGACAGGGGAAGCTGTCCTCTACTCATGAGGGCCAAGGTGGATTCATGGGTCATGTGCAAGGTCCCTCTTGCCCCTGCCTGGCTGTGGAGCCATCAGTGAGTTTGCAAACTAAAACAGCAAGGTGCTATAAACTATATTACTGTGTTGCTAATAAGACAAGTAATCTGGTTGATGGGATTACTTTTGGTCACGTGCTCTATTTTTTCACATACCTCTTTGTCCTTTCTTTGCTTCCTCATAGTTCCCACAGCTTTGACCTTCAGTTCCCATTGAAATCAATATCCCTTAATACCTTCATGACCTCAGGGCTGAAAGGTCCAAACTGGCATTGTATCCCATCCAGCCAAGCAAGCACCTCCCTGCTTCCCCCCTTCCATGACACAGGTCTCTCACTAGGCAGTGGACCACCAAAAGACCTGCTGTGCCCAGTTCTTCCAGTCACAACCGGGACACAGCAGCTCCAACCGAAGGAAATCCAGCCTTCTAGGTGGCCATGTGCCTACAAGAGTAGCCAGTTAGCAGGAGGAGCAATAAAACCCAAAAACTAGAGTTCCCAGGAACCCTGCCACTTGCCATACAAAAGAAACAAAAAACAAATTGCCATGATGATAAATATTTCCATGAGGTTCAGGTGCTGAGGAAAATCAAGCCCACTCTTCTGAAATTCTGTCTAAATCATGCTGCTTGCAAGTGGTGCTATTTTAACACCTGGTAACTGTATCATCTTTCTCTCAGGTATACTCTCTGCTCTCTGGTTGCTCATAATTACTACCTGAGTTCCCTTTGCAGTCAGTGGACTCTCTATTATCTCCCTGTGATGCTCTAATCCACTCAGACCTCCCACTGGCCAGCTGCAATTCTCCCTGTCCCAGCTCCCAAAGGCACGTTATTTTTAGAGCACAAACTCCTCCAGAGATCCATGGCAGCCTGTAAACTCAAAAATAGGTTGCTTATGGTACATTAGTAATGCTCACAGTTCTGCTCTCTGGTGATTCTTTCAGTTGCTGCAGGTTATCACCAGACTCCCTCGCTGCTCCAATCAACCTCGCCCCGAACAACCCGCAGCCACTTAAAAAAGAATATACTTGAGAGCAAATGCTTAAATGTTATCCTGATTAAGGGTGGACATAAGCACATGCTTAGAAACACTTTGAATCATGGAATTAGAGGACTTTTCAGCCATCAAGACCTTCTCCATTCCCTGACTGAGAATCTGCAAGGCTATGATTGCAGTCAGTTGGATGCCAGTGTTGGCTTCTGGAATAAAAAAGACTGGATCCCTGAGGTTTCTGACCACAGAAAAAAAGCAGTAGCTATTTCTATATAAGAACTTATTTAATGTATGTACTGCTCAACACAGATGTAACTTCAAAAATTAATGCAAATAAAGAAATAAATTGCAAAATCTCACCATTTTTTTTCCTTTTTCAGAATTGCAGTTTTTAATGCTGCATCTCCCTTTTATTCCCTGAAAACACCCCACTAGTTAACAGCAAACACACAAAATATTTATTCTCAAAAAAACCTAGTAATTCCAGTTGTCAGTGTTTTCTGCTCTTAGAGAGCATGCTAGCTGAAAGAAGAAGAAATATTAAATCCATCCAGATTTTGGCTGTGTCTCAAATACAATGCAATATGCAATAAAATGACCACATTTGGTGACAATATTATATAATTAAAGACCATGCATGAATCACTTGGGCACTAAATATTTTTTTTTCTTTATTTCAATAGTTCCCAGCCCTATATATTAATCCCAAAATTCTGTTAAGGCATCCTCTTCTTTTATAAGAAGTAACTTTACACAAGATAAAACAGACATTAGCACTTCGAAGAAGTTCAGTGATTATAGCAAGTGCACCAAGGTTCAGTAAATGCCTCCCACTCCACAAGCTTCCAAAGTGAACGACCACATGATGTTTACTCCTCACCAGAACCCATTTATAGATCTCTTACTCACCACTACCTCAGTCATAAATGCAACCCTCAAAAAGAGGCAGCAAGGAGAGCTCTATTTGGGAGCAGACACAGTTGGAGAGCTGGCCCTTGTCCTCACAACACTGTTTAGCCAGGCTCTGGATAATGATTTAAGTCATCCACACTCTAAAAATTCCAAACTACTGAGTGTTTATTACATACCAGGTGAATTGCACACGGACAACAGGTATGGCTGCTTGAGGAAAATTCTGCACCATTTGGAAAAATTTATAAAAAGGGTTAAAAAATGCCCCTCCAAAAGCAGATCCTGCTGGAAATAAAGGTAATGACTTCTTATGGAATTAGGAGTCCTAGGAAAGAGTTTTTTTCCCATTATGTCATTTAAAAGACATCTGGCCATTCCCAGCAGACAGCACACTGGGAATGAAAAGGGTATCGGTTACAGTAAGGTAAGAAGG